TTTCTTGTCAGGTGTCGTTTCTCCACGAGGACAGCAGGCCAACCCATATGAAGGACTCAAGCATGGAATCAAGCAGCATAGGTAGAATCCAGAGGAAGTCTGCTAAGGTGGCTGCCTACTACCTGCATGAATTGGCCAATGAAGAACTTGTAAAGGAGTGGCCAAAGAGGAAAGTCTTGCAGGATCTTGTTCCTGATGATCGGAAGGTACAAGATTTGCATGTTCTATAAAGAGGAATATGTCCAAGGTCTATGTAGCTAAGAAATGAAATACCACAAGTAAAAGTTCTTAACTGCTTGAGAGGAGCAAATCGGTCCTTGGGCCACATAGTTTTATTGCAGTTTTGTGACTTCAGATCAGTGGAGCATCCATGGCAACCGTTCTATTGCAGGCTATGACTGTACAAAGTTCTGGGAAGAGCTGCTTTTCCTTATTCCTTCAGACAATGATTGAGCCATTCCAGGATGAGAGGGACATTTGCAGTTCTTGAAATATAATTTGCCCTGTTTTTGAGATTACCTTACGAAATGATCCTAAATCTTTGTTCGTAACTGAGTATCCAAGCTGATTTATTTGCATCCTTCTTGGAATGTTGCATTCATGGAGAGAGGCAAAGAGACACTATAGATTTGCTACAAAATCCTCGAGAATTAGACCTGAACTAAATAGAAGATTGTTAAACTATTAAATCAACACAGAGTTAGTGCAAGCCAGGCTTTGTTTAAATTATATGTACAAAAGCAGCTCTTCTATGACTTGAAGTTACATTTTCCATTCTTTCTGTGGGATATGCAAGACTATTTGGGATGATGTTTATGGTTAGAATTTATCATTGGAAGGATTTTGTGCATCGTTCCCAAGACTTTGGTGACTAGCAGTTATCTGTCCCTTTTCTAGAGGAAATTGGAAGTTCTTAGTGTGGTTTTGTCTTGGTTCTCATGATTTTTTTTTGAAATATAGTTTTTTAGAATTGTAAACTACCCAGAGTCTTTTTAGAAGTTGGGCATCTTGAAATGTAATAAATAACCCATTCCAGTTGGCTATAGCCTTGCTAACAGTTTCTATCGTTTATGTTAGATTTTTAAAAACCTAACTCCTAACCCTAATATCCATATCCATGCTGGGGTATGGTATGGCAAATTGAAATTCATCTGCCTGAATATATGCTGTGAGCTTGATTAGGCATTGATCTTGCCTGACATCAAAGCTCTTTAAGAGGGGATGATTGACTTGAACACAATAGGTAGAAAGGGCAGCTTCATCTACAAAGGCTATATAGAGATGACAGCATCAGCTCCTGAACTCTAGTTTTTGCTTTTGTTCTGTTCTCCTGTCTCAGCTGAAATATACTCGACCGGGGATGCCTGCGGTGAGCCAGGAGGTTCTGTGCAAGTGGAGGTCAGAAATAAAGACATACAGACGGGTCCATTGCCCCAACCAGGTAACCATAGCCCCTGCCAGGTAAGATTGAATCTGGTGAGCAGGGAGTAAGGTTTGCAGTTAAAACTAGTATTTTTCTCGTGGCAATGTCATTAGAAATGTAGTCGTGATTAATTGATTTGATGGAACAGTTTTATTCTGTTTCCAAACTGGCCCAATACGTAAGAAACATCTGTGGAAAATCTGCAGATCTGTGAACCTTTTATTACTTTCTGTCATGTATCCTCTACAGGCACAAAGGAAAGCCTCTTTCCATAAGCACACCAACTAATTCATGATTGTTATAGCTTGTGTGAAATCCTTGTTCCTCATAGTTATCAGCCTAGGTCAGGGGTAGGCAACCTTGGCTCTTTTATGACTCGTGGACTTCAACTCCCAGAATTCCTGAGCCAGCAGAGCTGGCTCAGGAATTCTGGGAGTTGAAGTCCACGAGTCATAAAAGAGCCAAGGTTGCCTACCCCTGGCCTAAGTCACTCAATCTTTACATAGTGACCTTATTTCTGTTTTGTTTCTCTCAAGGGTTGTGAGTGTGTTTACGGCAGCATCTCTGGTCTTAAGGCCCATCTGGGCAATTGCACCCTGGTATGTATCAGTTGACAAGCTGTATGGAGGCCTTCTCAGTTGTTGCCAAGAAAAGTCCTAGGCAGAACCAGGGGAAACCAGGCATACAGTCAGCTCCAACGTATTTTCTGCCAGATCTGTCCTCTCCAAAAGATTCATATTTTGTATGTGAGACTTTGCCCACTTAAGTGATATCAGTATAGCTCCCTAACTTAGTTTGTGGGAAATATTACCTTTGAGGACAGAAAGATCATTTTATTTTTCCTCCAGACCATTTCACTCTGGCCTTTTCATGAATAGGAAAAGGTTTATCATGTTTTAGATATGATCAACATGATCCAGAGGAAAGCCATAATATTACAAAATTCCCCAGAATAAAACCTCTTGCCCAGTCTCACTTCTTTTCCTTATTGTTCACTGTCATTGCTAGGAATGCTAATGATTTTTGTCTTTCCTCAATTACAGGGTGAGTTCGTGGCTGGGAAGTACAAGTGCTTGCTTTGTGAGAAGGAGTTTGTGTCTGAGAGTGGGGTCAAGTACCATATAAACACTGTGCACTCTGAGGTGAGGAGTTGGTCTCAAAAGCATGGACCTGTGCACACACTCCATGGCTTTAGACCTTTTTTCTGCCTTTTTTTCGTGGGTGGGAGAGGGAAAGGGTTCAAACTTTTTCCCTTTTCCTGTGGTATGAGTCAAGGTCATCAGTGTGTGCCCAGTATTTGTATTGTGCCTCTTCCCCTCAGGACTGGTTTGATAACACAAACAGCACTAAGAGCTTTGAAAAACTGGTAAAGCTGCAGCAAAAGGAAGTGGAACAAAAAAGGCAACGCAAGAAGCACGTGTCCAGTCGGAGCCGTAAGAAGAAGCTGCGGAGCGCCACTCCAAAGAAGTCACCAAGGCTAGGACCGGATCAGAACCAACGGCAGGAGGTCAAAGTCAGCCATTCTAAGATGGCAGACTGTGAAAGTAGGAGCCTGGAAGAAGAGGATTCTCTCCCTTTGAAATTCAGTCACAGAAGGGCGAAGAAATAGCCTCCTGCAGGAATTTCTGCTTTGCAGGACAGGTACAGCAGGAGTATCTTATACTTAGGGAGCATGTACGTAGCAAAACCTGGGGGAAGGAAGAGAGAGAAGAGGGGATTGGTTTAAGGAGTGAAATCAAACTACTAATAGTCCTGCTAGTTACTACCTGGCAACTTTAAGAGGTATGGACTTGCTGGCTGAGGAATTTTGGGAGTTGAAGTCCATACCTCTTAAAATTGCCATGATCGAGAAATGCTGTAATAGATGATATCTGGCCATTTGGAAATAGTAAATTTTCCCAGGTTTTTCAGAGACATTCCATTGCACACTACAGGAGAAAATGTATTTAAGTTCTCAAATGTAATATATAAGAATCTAGCAGGGATAGGGAATCAGTTGATCTCAATCATTTACCCTGCTCCCCAAATCCTGACTTCAACTATTTAAGGCTTTTTTTCCTTTGAAATGTTTCAGCATCTGCAATTCCAAATGCTGGAAAGAGAGCTATCTTGGGAAGGAGAGGGGGGAATGTTCCATCTACCCTAAGAGACAGATATAAGTAAATTGGAATAGATGTAAGATTTTTCCATGGCCAACAGTCCACATTTTCTTTTTAAGGGACCGTAAAAGTGACTGCAGTTATAGTTTTGACACTTGGAAATAAGAAAGACATGTTTCTCAATCACAGGCACCTGGAAACAGGAAAGAGAAGAGATTCTTGGCTTGAATTCACCTCTTGCAAGTTCAGTGAAGATCGAGAGCAGAGTGTCTGAGAGAAGAACTGGTCAACAGCATGAGTAAGAAGACTTTCCTGAAATTCCACTGTTCCAGTCTAGTTGCAGTAAAACAAGATCTGTTACATACTGTTATATACTGAGCCAAGTGCTTGCATAGGATTAACTTGCAACATATGCTTATGAAATATTATATCACATAGAAAATAAAGTTACTAATCACTCTAGTTGTGTGTATTTTTGAGTGTCAAAATTATAATTTACTGTTATATATAATAAAAAGCAAACAAGAACTGAATTCCTTCCAATGAATTTAATACAGGAGTAGAGAACCTACATAAATGAGCTGCACTCATCTAGTGAGTGATTACATTTAACTCAAATTGATCTGGCCATATTTGTGGTTAAATTAAGTTCCCTTGTATTATGCAAAAGTATTTTCTGAGTAATTAATTGATGGAGCTTTTTGGGGAACTCCTTTCTCTTCCCACCTCACAGAGTTTCACGCCGTCCTCCCCATCCCTCTTATCATGGGTCAGTCATTCTTCCTATAGATCTCCTTCAGGAAGTAGACAATCCACAGCATGGCCTTTCTATGCGGAAGCCGTGTGGTACCACCCTGAAAGTGGGCGCCATTTTGGGAGCAGGCCCCATGTGAATTGGGAAGATGCATTAGGTCTCCCTGAATCTTCTCCACCACTGAGGCACCCCATGCTCCACCTAACAACCTGCACAGTTGCTTAACCGCAAAAGCAGGGATTAGGACCATAAAGTGAGGCGATCACATGAGTGCTTCACTTAATAATCAGCACAGTTGCAAACATAATTGGCAGGCTCCAATTATGGTCATACATCATATGTAGTAATGCTAGTAAAGCTTCTCAAGGGAGTATACAATGGGATTATTTCTCTTGACAGACCAACGTAATTTAAGAGGTTTTTATTCAGGACTGCTTGCAGATAACAATTTAGCCTCAAGTTAAGGAGTTCCAAAACACATTATGGGTATTGGGAAAGTCCTTGTTTGGGATAATTAAAAATCAGAACAGCATGTCATGAAAGCATTAACCCCACTCAGCAGGTCTGGCATTACTTTCCCCTTTCTTTAAAACAGTCCCCAACAGGACTGCTATGTCAGCTTTATCCCTCAGCCTCCATGGATTATATATTAACCTGTCCTCCCCTTTGTATACCGAGTCTTTCTCTGGCAATGTGAAACTGTAGTCATGCAGCAGAACAAATTCTCTTGGGCAAAGTATTCAGTCAAGCCCAATTGGTTCGTATTACAATTTTATTAGCCTTGGGAAAAGAATAATCAGACAACATAAAATAAATGAAGTTAAACACTAAATGATCTAAACAAAGAGCTATTAAATCTATTAATATATATAGGCTACATTAGGGGTGTCAAATTACCGGCCTTCAGGCCAGACACGTCATCCGGAAGCCGCACCCACCCCATTGCTGGCAATGGCAAAACTGGCCCAATACGTTGCGCAATGTCACGTGACATCGCGAGTTTGACACCCTTGGGCTACATGAATCAATGCAGAATTCCATAAAAAAATGACTCCTATGATAATGGGAAAGAGGAATTTGATCCCCACTCATATTCACACATGCTTAACTTGATTTCTGAATGAATCCATTTTTTAAATTTGCATAATACAGGGTCTCATCGATTGGCCAAATATGCTACATTTGCAAAGCCTAAGGTTGATACTTAACCATACACCCTATGCTGTGTCAATGCATTTTCTAGTCCTTTATTGACTTAATAGCAGCTGAGATACTGTTTTGGAGGGCAGGTTTCTGAAACTGAGATACTTGCATGTATACTGTTTGACATATGGGACATGAAAAGCAATAATCCTCCAACTGTATAGAAGGGATAAATTTGAGGATATTTTCAATGCTATCCTGGTAGGAGATGTTCATCCTGCTGGAGTGCCTGGAGGATGCTTGGTACTCTGTCAATGTTTGGGTTGAAGAATCCTAAGTGAAGGAATGAGAGGGCTGGTTTCACTTAGCAGTCATGAATGGGGTTGGTAATCCAATCACTTTCTTTAATTTTCATCAGTGTTTATTATAAGAAAAGTTATAACCTCAACTTTTTGCTTTACATTTCTGTTAATTCAAACCATTTCTATAACAACGAAGTCAAATCTTAAAATTGAAATTTCACTATTTTCTGTTTTGAGAGTAAAATCTAGGAGTGGTTTCCAAATGGAAAAAAAAACTAGATAAATTCTTTTTAATTAAAGCAGTCAATTTTGCCATCTCCTCAACTCCATCAATGTGGGAATTGATAGATCTTTCCATCTTTGTGCAAATAAAAGTCTCGCTGCTGTCAACATATATAATAACAAAGTTCCTTTTTTTTTCCAAGTTCTTTATCCAGCAAACCAAAAGACGTCTTCTTTCAGTTTTATATTTATTTTAAGAACCTTCTGAATTAAAATAAAGATTTGGTCTCAATATTTCTTTGTTTTGTCACAGGTCCACCAACGATGGTAGAAAGTACGCTTTTCACAAATACATTTCCAACATACATTTGAAATTTCTTTACACATCATTGACCATTTCTCAGGCATTAATTCCTAAGGATGCATCATTTTGAAACAGATTGTAGTTCAATATAAACTTCATTTCTCCATATTTTTTCCTATTGATCATTATATTGCAACCAAAGTCCTTTGCCGATTGAATCATCTTTAACAGTTCACATTTTGGTCCCTTTCTAATTGGATTACTGCAGAGGTTTATAAACTGAATTCCTCCTTCCAAAAATAATCGAAACCACACCAATTAATCATGTTGTGCCAGTCCCTCTGTTAAGTGTTCAAGTGTCCTAATTGTCTTGGCTGAATGCAGTTTCTCTGGCCGTTGCGTTTCACTCCTCCTGCCGCACAAGGCCAGAAGCTCTACCACTCAACCGGCCACGCAGATAGGCCAAGTCCTGCAAACAGCCATGCTCTCGCCACAGCTGCTCCAATTGTTTCTGCAATCGGTGCTTATGCTCCTGCAGCTTCTGTACTCGCTGGACCAGCTGGTGCAGCTCCTTCTTCAGCTCCTTATTCTGCTGGCAAACTGTCTGGCTGTGCTCCTGAAGGCACCGCAAGGCCAACTGTTGCACCTGCTGAGCCAAGCCCTCCACTTCCTGCCCTGCCTCCTGTTCCTGGGCGATCTTCTCTCTCAAGGCTCGTATCTTGACTGCCTCCAGGTGCTGCATATGCTGCTCCTGCGCAGCCGCCAACTCCTTCTGCAGCCGCCGAATGTGGGAGGTCTGCTCTTGTTTCAGGGCTTGAACCTCACGCAGTCCCTCCAATTCAGAGCTGAGACGGGCCAGCTCAGCTTCCTTCTGGAGCAGCTGTTCCCGCAGGGCTGCCTCTTGCTCCTGGGAACGGGCAATCGCTTCTTGGTGCTGCTTCTGGATTTGGCGCAGCAACTCCTGGTTCTCTTCACTTAGAGAAACCACCACACCCTGGCGCCTTCGGGTTCGCTTGGCTAGGTAGCCGGCAAACTCCCGGCTCTCATTCTGGAGGTCTTGTGCCTCTTGCTGGAGGAACTCATATTGTGCCCTCAGCTGTGCCCTCCTCCCTCTCAAATCCTCCAGGTTTCGGCAAACGCTCTCATATTCCTGTTGTACTGGCAGCAGCAAGGCGTTGTCTGGCCCGGATTCCACGGTGTCCTGGGCAGCGGCCCTAGAAGCTGTGAGCTTGGACCTGGCTGGCTGTGCTTTCTTTTTCTTTTGGGGCTTCGGAGCCATCACCTTGCCTGGAGGGCTGGAAAGCAGATGGACATTATGTTCAGGTCAAAGCAGGGAGAAAAACCTTAACCCGGATTAGCTTAAGAAAAGGGAAGAACAAGAGCAATTGCTCCAACAACCTCGATCAGGCTAAGGCTGAAGCTCATGCAGGAACCCTCTTCTAGTGTCTGTGGGATTCAGGCTCAGCAGTGGAAAAGCTGGGCCAGGCAGAACTGAAGGGATTCTAAAGATGGAAGAAGATATGAGTGAAAAGCCAGAAGGCTTCATACAGTAGCTTACGAAGGGGAAAGTTAGTATGAAGGAGGTGATATGGAAGGGGGTGTTCTGCCGGGGGGCGGGGGGGGGAAGAAGCTCAACAAAAAGTGTGTAAGGAGCCTACCTGAAAGTTCTTTTGCAGCTTTGAACAAATCCCGTCTGTGTTTTCTTGTTGCTAAGTGCCTGGGATGGGGGTGGAGCCAAAGGGAGGAGGGAAGAGTGACTTTCTTTCATAACCATCTGGTGACTCAGGAGCCAAGACTGAAAATTCATCCTTCCAAGCTGTGTGGCTTATTACATCAGCTGCTGCTAAGCTGAGGATTTGGGTGACAATACATTTCTGTACATACACAATAGATATTCAGCCTGGCCAAATCTTACTGCCATTGCAACGTTGAGGGATCAAGGCTTTGTGTACTTCTTGAAGCTTCTCCATTTGAGGGGTCCTTGGTGCTCTCTGAGCTTGGTTGCTTTCTTGTAGATGTTTCATTATCCAAACTAGGTCACATCATCAGGGCTGCACTGCACAGCACTGATGAGGTGACCTAGTTTGAGTAATGAAATGCCTGCA